CGTTCCAGGGCCCCTCCAAAACGGTTCAACCAATTCTATTTTTAACATACCAGGGAGGAAAAAAAATATTACATTCAGGGAATAGAATCAATACTATCATTTAAATGTAAATCAAATTCAATACAGCTATTGCCACAGCTTTACTCTTCTTGTTCTCCTTGCCCTTTCTACTTTGGGGAGTGCTGTCTCCAGCAAATGTGTCCCTTGGCTTACGAAAAATTATGTGCCTTTGTTTAGGGCAGTGTTTTTCAATCTCAGCAATTTTAAGCTGTGTGGACTTCAACTTCAGAATTCCCCAGCCATGCTGGCTGGAGCATTCTGGGAGTTGAAGTCCAAACATCTTAAAGTTGTTGTGGTTGCGAAACACTGGTTTAGGGTAATAATGAGGTGCAATTAGAGGAATTGGTGGGGAAGAATTGCGTTCCTATCAGCAGAGGATCATTACAACACAGTCATTGGCTATAGATTGCCACTCCATGAAAGTATGTACAGATAATGTAGCATGACTTGCAGCATTTATCAGGAAACAGTGCAGAACACTGCTTTTCTTCACAGCCTCTAGAACGTGCAGGTTTGTTGATAGGAAACAAGTTCACAGATACAGAAGGTAGAGAACAGATTGGCAAAGCACAGAATGTAGAAGGGATAAATAGCTAGAAGTGCTAAAATGTCTCACTAAGAACTAGACAAGCAAAAGTTAATGCTAAAAATACAATCTATATAAACTTTTTGCCATATTGTCCCCGAGATTGTTCTTGCAATGGGCTGGAAGCCCATCCTAAAGAGCTTCAGTTTTTTAAAGCATTTTAACCTGCCTTCTTCCCTATGGAAATAGATTCAGCTGACATTGTCAAGGCTCCACATCAGTTTTCCATAATCTGGTCCTTCCAGATGTGTTGGAACAATGGGCAAAACCCAGCAAGATGAATTTCAGCAAGCAGAAATGAAAAGTCCTACTTATGGGTAGGAAAAATCAAAGGCACCATGTAGGGAACATATCGGGTAGCAGCATGCATGCCATTTCTAATAGTGTTTTTTTAACGATTTCCGGGAAATATATAAGACATTCAAATATGCAGAAAGATAGTTCTATCATACTGAGAACTTCATGACAAAGTTGCATGTTAATCTGAGTTTTTAGTCAGGGAGCAAGCAGCCTCAGCAGATATTGTTTACATCATTTGCCATACCAAATGATTTCCTAAGCATTCACAGTTCTTTTTAGTTCATATCTGAGAACTGAACTTCAGTTTTCACATTCATCAGTTTCGGAGTGTGATTGAACATATATAATGCATGGTGTGTTTTTGTCACAGATTATTGAATAAAACATATTTGGTTGGGTTTGCACACTACACTAGACAAGAAACAATGTTTATAATGTTTTGTTAAAAAAAAAACTGTTTATAAATTAATAATTGTGAAATCTTAAACAATGCAATCTTGGGCATGTTTCAACAAGCAGACAATTCTTGCTGAGAATCCTTCCTTCCCCAAATCTATTACAGTGAAGTTCTTATACCGGACAGTTTTCTCCTCAATTTGAGATAACTTTTTCGATGTTAGAAAGGGTAGCATCCCACTGAAGCCAAATTTTACCACACACTAAAATGTAATACAAGCAGCTCTAATTCTATTATTAAAACAAGGTGGGGAAAGCATGTAGAGCATGGCTTCTGAAATTCTTTACAACTCCTAATAGTGTCTTCTGTTCTGGATCTTTTAGACTGCTAGGTCGGCAAAAGAGGGGCACAGAATACTTATTCCCCTAAAAATGAATGGGATAAATTTTTCTGATTTTTTTTTCTCAGCAGCCCCTGGCCTAATCTGGTCTATCTTTAAACCTGACATATCTTCTGCCAGTTTACACCAAATCTTGTCCCATTCTGTTCAATTTTCTAAGACTTATCCTGCTAATGGACATGGACTGCTGAGCTCCTTTATGCAATTTCCCTTCAACACTCCTCTGTTGATAAAGAAAAGGATTTTAATGACAAAATTTATAACATGCAACATAAAGTATGCACATGATTGCAATTTCCCTATAATTTTGTGGTGGGGAATCAGGTAAAAGGCTGGTCAGGGTCTTCAGAAAACATGCAACAAGATATCAAACTCCACCAAAAACATCCATGAGTTCATCCCTTGCAGATGTGATTGTCATTATATTCTGAATCAACATGAAAAGCTACATCACCAAACATTTTTCCATACAGACTTAAAGATAACACAGTTATATGTATTTTGCAGACACAGCTCTTTAGTGCTGAAAGCAAGCAAGCAAGAAAAAAAAATGTCCCTTGAGTTTAGAAAAATCCCAGAAAAACAAAATGGTCTTTTTTTTCTGGTGAAAACTTTCCATTTAAATTCTAGACAGTTGGAGGACAGCGCTGGGATGGGTATGTTACTGGATTGTGGCAAGGGATGAATGTTATTCATAGACTATTAATTTATAAATGGCTTGGGGCAAATAATTCCTGCCCACAATCTTCTGAATTTAGCATTTCAATACATGAGGCACATCCCGTCTCAAACATCACAAAGTTTCCTCTTTCATTCTAGACATAAAAGCACAATAGGTAACTTTCTACACATTCCTACAAATGTTAGATTTACAATATACAGCAGTGTTTCTCAATCTTAGCAACTTTAAGACGGGTGGACTTCAACTCCCAGAATTCCCCAGCCAGCATGGGGGAATTCTCCTTCTTGCTGGACTGGGACTGACATACTATTGCAGTTCCTGAAAGATGGTTACTTTAAGTAGGTAGTCTCCGCAAGGCAGAGAGTCCTTTGCCTGATTTCACTTTACATCTCCTGGTTTCTCTTAAGAACAACATGACAGGAGAAAATGTGGACATTTTTCTCATCATTATACAGCAAATCATGAGGCACGTTGGAGGATGTAATTCATATCATCCGCAACTATTAGAGTCCAAAGCCAAATGGGATTTTTTGGGGGTGGGGTGTGTCATTATCCAGTACACATTAGCTCAAAGTAAATTTTATTTAAGTGCATAATCCCATTAGCAATCGATGTACTGTGGAATATAATGGAACTTTTATCTATCAAGAAGTTTGTGCTCAAAAGGATTCCTCTCTCCTTATCTCACTTTCTCATCTGGACCAAAACCAGATCATTACTCACCCCAAATCTGAGTCTCCTGCCACCTATGATTCTGGGTCAGAGAAGTCACAGGAGTAAAAGAGCTCAAAGGCACTTCTGTTTGGCCAAGCCTGCCTCTTAAAAGGGAAATGAAAGAAGTTACTTAAAAGGGCAATGGAGAAAAGGCATTTTAGCTTAGCTTTATACATATTTACTGGGAAGAAAGGGTCAGCATGTTTTTGAATATGTGCGTCCAGAACTGCAGTCTTCTCCTGCTTTAGCTCAGGATCACTTTTTATTGCTGCAGCTGTTTTAAGCTGAAATCTTACACAGGTGACTAAGTCCCATTAAATCTAGATCAGTGTTTTTCAACCTTAGCAACTTTTAAGATGCTCGGACTTCAACTCTCAGAATTCCCCAGCCAGCCTGCTGAACTGAAGTCCACACATCTTAAAGTTGCCAAGGTTGAAAAACACTGATTTAGTGGGATTCAGTGCCCAATAAAACTGGGGCTGCTATGCGGATAAAAAGGAGGAACAAATCCAATTATATGCTCTTTACCCTGGAATACTTGCTGATTTCTATGTGAGCTATGGAGTAGAAGAGTGTAACGACGGATTATTCTGCACCAAGTTAAATGGTGAACATGGTCAATTGCATTCTTCATTATTCAGACATACCAAGTAAGTTGTGCTGGCCAGAAGAAAAAAATCCAGGATCCATTTTAAAGACATGCCATAATTATTAGGCAAACTCAAAAGTCTAAAATTAAATTAAATTAAATTAAATTAAAAAATTCAGGGTTTCAAAATGTGCACCATACAATCTTTTTAAGATGGGTCAGTATGCTTATTTGAGAATAGGTATGACTGTGTGTGTTTAAACCATCTTGTATGTTAATTTTGACCTGAAAGGCAGCATATAAAGGCAGCATACCCCAAGCAAATATACTAGGTCTGAACAAATATTCACCTTCTTTTCTGGTTAATTGTTCAGATAGATTTAATACAATCTATAAAACAACCAATCACATTTTACTCTAATGGCAAACCAAATCCACACAATTAATTTACAGGTGAACCTGTCACATGAACTGAGGAAACTGAAAAAAACATAGTTTAGTTAATCACTGTAAGTGGGCCGTGTGAACATAGCAGTGTAATGGACACTAGGAATAACCTTGAGGAACAGGAGGAAGAGCCACATTCAAGACAATGGTCAGATAAAAGAAATTTGAGTCCAAGGCAGAAATTTGAGAAAGCGTCTCAGGCTTGACCTTCCCTAGTTCTCATGAAGATAAAGGGTGGGGGGAGCGTATTCACACTTGCAAGATTCTGTTACTGTAAACTTATAATAAAAGTAGTGTTAGCATTCATAACTTTGGTTTCCTAGTCTGGTCTACCCTGAAGGGCTGACAAGCAGCAGAATGCAGCAGTGCAGGTAGGAGTGCTGTTGACCTCCTGTGCTCATATACAGCTAAGTTAAGCCTGACTGCATAGACATAGTTTGTGTGGTTTTCTTGACAACAAGCTGGCTTGCCACTGCCTTCTTCAGGGATCTTCTTTCCAGCACCTAATCTGTCTAATCTACAGCCCTGGGCTTTCCTTGTGGTCTCCCATAAAATATTAATTAGGTCCAACTGTGCTTAGCTTGCAGGTTTTTTAATTTTCATTCCAAATTATCAGAAAAGTGTAGGTTCCTCTAATTATCATACTTTGGACGTATAATGTGAAGACTTAGTTTTCTGGAGAATTTCATAATACGGAAAAAGAGAAGAATGGGATGACCATCAGCAAGGCAGAGGGACTCACTTACAGTACTTTTGGAAGCCCTGAAGGACCAGGTTGGGGAATGATGCTCCTGGAGAAAATCTATGTGTTCGGTAAGAGTCGACATTGGCTTGATGGCACATAATCAATCAATCAATCAATCAATCAATCTTTTCTTCTTTAGATGAGATAGCTATACTCCATAGTAGGACATTTTGCCCCACATAATAGATGTTGCAGGACAAGAGCCCCAAATCAGGAGTCGGGTAGCACTTTTTCCAACACATTACGGTGTAAGCTGTTTTGAGCATAGCTTACATTTTTTAATACAATGTGTTGGTTGGAAAGGTGCTACCAGACTCATCCTGATTTTGGCCCCCCATAAAAATTGTAATTTCTATAACCAAGTATTAGGTTCCAGAAACTATTCCTGATTATTAAACTGTTCTCATTTATTTAGAAACTGGAGGGAGGGGACTACAAGGGGAATGAATGGCATTACTGTTAATCTGAGACAACCATGATCTAGCAAATACAGAAGTCATAGCAACAGTATGGACAGCATGGCAACAACAGCTGCAGCAATGAAATTAAAAAAAAAAAACAGTATGGGTTTGGAGAAGAAAAATGTAAGGAATGAAAAGCCATCAGCTAAAGAGCTCTGCAAGAATCCATGTCACCAGCAAGACTGACAGTAAGTAACCAACCTTCTCTTGTTTGTCCTTCAAGTTAAATAATAAATATGATCATGATATGTGTGTGTCTGTGTGTCTATTTATGTGTGTGGTGTTTTTCTCAGAGCCACGTAGCGATTATTTCCACAAAGTTCTTCATTGTAGATGCAAATTCAGATGCCATTTAAGGAACTAGGATTTTCAAAGCTTGATAAAGCTAGATTTTTATTTTCATTTGTTATGCTTTCAAACTTCTGATCAAAACATGTAAATCATTCAGCTTTATGTATCTGATGGGCCACCTACTCTGACATCAACTTGCTTGTGACTTAACAGCATTTGCCAGAGCTTCTCTTCACATGCTTTTTGTGTTTGAGGTAAAGAGGCATTAGTGTTGGAAACTGGTTGGACAGAGGGATACCCACTATAGAAGGCTTTCCCAAAAGAGGTTTGCTTGGGATCAAAATTTTTAAAATTTATGCATGCATTTTAAACCTTGCCTGCTGATATTGGATTAGTCTGAGTATACTGTCCTACCATCCACTCTAATATAATGGACAGTTATTATAGGTAAATACTACTGATTTATTTGTCCTGCCAGAGGCAAAAACAATTCCCAGGAATTTGCATCTTAAAAACATGGAATGTCATAAAAAGCCTAAAATCAAACTATGACAAACATTGCCACAATATATTAGGCACAATTCATTCCCTAAAGGTCCTCAAGAACAGCTAACAGCTTCCAGAAGACCAACAACAAATAAATGCACACATACACAATAAGTGCTTCTTTAAGGCAATGATCCTTCATACTAATTTAGGAATATAATCTATTGAGGACAGCTAGGCTTACTTCTGATTCAACATGGATAGAATTGCATTGTAGATCTGAGAATTCTGTTTAGTGTAAGTCGGTGTTTCTCAACCTTGGCAACTTTAAGATGTATGGACTTCAACTCCCAGAATTCCCCAGCCAGCATGTGCATGATTACTGTATTGTGCTGAACTCAAAGGCAATAATTCCATCTGCAATCTCTTGCTATGCAGCTGCAGCCTCAGGCAAGTTAATTTCATTGTCCTGACCATTTTTATCTTTGTTGTCTCACACTTAGACCAAATAATCTAGAGTGTCAGATTACCATGTTGGAAACAACAAAGTTTATAATATATTTTTACAAACTTCTCTTATTCCAAGATAGCACGCTATCCAACTATTTCTTACCTTATCCCCCTTTTTTATTGACTATTTCCATGTGTAAAATATACACAGAGCAATACATTCTATCATAGTAAACCATCTAGCCATTTCTGCAGCTGCCTTTGCAGAAGAGTATATTCCTATTTTCGATTAGGAAAGCAATCCTATACTCCAATGACACCTTTGGGGGCTGGGGAAAAGTTTTGCTCCTGCTATGCAGATGGAACAGCTGCCACCTGTTACAACAAAATGAGCCTAACCCTGTCCAGAAAATGACACTAAACAGAGACAGAGAAGCCAATACTATGCCAATGTGTAACCTACACTGAGAAGGGGCTAACAGACACAGATCAATGAAGACATGTTCCAGCATTCTCCTACACACAAAATGATGGCATACTGTACAAAGTGATAGTGCAGCACACTATGTGCGGGCATAATACTCCTAATTCTTTGAGCTCAGTACCATAGACAGCCCTATTCCTGACCCTTCCTATGGACAAGGAGTCAGATCCTCCCTCTGCTACTCACAGCCACTACTTTGGAGCACAAGGGAAGAGAGGTTGGTTCACACAAGGCAGCAGGCAGATAGATACCTAAGCAAGAGGCCTGCAAGAAGCACTAACAGCTGGAACAATGGTTCTAGATCTGCCCAGGGAGAGAAAAACTCTTCTGCCAAGGTGCTAGAGAAATTGCCCAGGACACACAAGTTAACCACAGGTCGCTGTGTCATGTTAGCACTGGCAAAGTGACTGGTTTGGCTTGAAGGATTTTATTGAACCCAATCAAGTGTGGTTACTAAATAAATCAGAGTTACAAAAACCATACGGTGTAATGTGTGAATCCAGTGTTATTTCCATAAAAAATGTTTCAGTTAACTAAAGGTTAGTGTTGTATAAACACAGCCAGAGAAAGAGTAAAAGTACATGTCAGGTTATCAATAGTAATTCTGGCTCCTGCAGCTTGAAAACTGGTAGAAAAGATAAGGAATAGTAGGCAATATTTCTTGGCTATATTCCCACAACACACTTACAATTAACTCATCCATATTTTCTGGGTTCACACAATAGGCAAACCATAAATCAGTCATATAAGGTTAATTTATGGTTTGTCTATTGTGTGATCCCAGAAAATGTGCACTGTTAACTACAGCGTTTCTGTCTCTTTACCTGCAAAGGTAAAGAATGCTGCCAGGAACACACAGCACAAGAACAAATTAAAACCAAAGGAAATCAAATTTATAGGGATGATATGGGGGGGGGGTCTTAACAATAGGCCAAACTTCCCCAACCTGGCACCTTCCAGATGTTGGGTCTCCCCTAAATGTTTGTTTGCTATACTTCCAACTCTCCTAGAAGGCGTCAGGTTAGGCAGAGTGCAGTGACTGCCTCAGCCAGATTTGAATTGCAGAAAGGCAGCAACCTTATTTAATTATCTTGATCAGAACTGAAAGGAAGGAGGCAGGTGCTTGTAGGACTGTCTGTCTCAGGTGCCAAATACCTTGGCTCGTCTGGGGCTCTGGCCAGCATCAAGTTATAACAGGACTGGCGCAAAGCTCGATTCCTTCTTCAAGACCAGTGTTTCTCAACCTTGGCAACTTTAACTGGCTGGGGAATTCTGGGAGTCGAAGTCCACACATCTTAAGGTTGCCAAGGTTGAGAAACACTGTTCAAGACTGAAATGCGCTTCAAGTATGGTGGGCTCAATTCAACGAATCCCAAGAGCCAGCAATTCGAAAATCTCCTTCCTTTTCCAGATAATCACCGCCTACCATATTAACAAGCCCTGCACCTTCTCACGCGACGCTGAAAGGGGCCGGTCGAGGAAGAGGAACCGGGCACCGCGAGGAGGTGGCACCGACTTGCAAAAGCTGGATTCAGAATCTACCACTCTAGGAAGTGACGCCTTCCCAGAATCCTACCGCAAGAGGCGAAGTTGGCGTTGGCTTGGTTTGGCTGGCTGGCTGGCGGCGGCGGCGTCTTTGCCACCCGGCTGAGCGGGAGAGGTGAGCTCGTCCTTTCGCGCTTGGTTTTCGTTTTTGCCTGGCCTTCGTTCCGGTGACT